CTTACATTTATTATAAAGAGAAGCCTTAGGAGACGGTTTGTAAATATTTATTTAAATACAGATTACTATCGTCTGCTTCAAAAGTATTCTTACCTCAAGGACGTATAAGTGACAACCGCGGTGTGGACTTATATAATAGTTAATTATCATGTTACAAACAGATGCGAAGAACAAAATGTCATTGTAATATATTTTGATGATCAAGCATTTTTATTACGCAACTTCAGTAAGCATTACAAAGTAGGTATTGGATAAGTCTACATGATATGTGAAATTTTGTCAAACCTTGCTTAGCCATCGGTAAAAACAAATGATAGTATTATGTACAATTTACATGTATATGACTGATCTCTGTTGTTAAATAGTTAAACGTGTTGTCTAGCTTTGTAGCGCGAGACGTTCGAATCCCGAGAAAACAATAGATTGTTTCTGGCATGGCACAGAAATCTGATCAACTACTAAATAAAACTGTGTAACGTGTTCGACTCATGCCCCAGGGGGGGAAACGGTATGTCACACATAGTTCTTTTTATTTTTATTAGATATTAGTTACAATGCTCGTGTGTAGTGTTGAGAGCATGTGGGTGGAGCCACGTGCATATTTGTAGCGAGTGAGAAGCTTTTGACGTCACGTAAGTAGTGTGAAAGATGGTAAGATGTTGACCGAGTACGCTAGGCAGAGATAACCACGGTACACTATCATTTTGAATTTTATACGGTGGAGTGGATACTCTGAACCCTAATCAGATTTACTTAAATTGCAAACGTAATTAAGTACGTTACGGACGTAATACGTTTTTACAAACGCTTATAGGTAGTCAGTCATATTTATTTATATGTAACCCAGTAATACACATGTACTCCACTGAAAAACAACATTCCGTTACGTTTCAGTGCTCCAAAGGTATAATAATATTGAATACACATAAGTAAAAACAAACTAGAACATCATAGATACATTATTTAAAAAAAAATGTTAAAAAATAGGTTGAGATAGAAAATGACAGTTTTAGATTTCTACGACTATCTATATTTAAAATAACTAAAATTAGTTATTTCATTTAATTATTGTTAAATTTTTAAAATAAATTATTTTACAAAAATTATTTATATAGACAATGAGATATTAATTTGATATTACTAACATTAATGTACTATCATAATTTTAGTGTTTATAGTTATTGGTAATTTAGCATGCAATAATAAATTAATAATCTATACTTCAATGCTTAAATGGACGATATTGAAATAAAGTTCAAACAAGTATATTAAGTATGTCTGTTTATCGAGCTTACTAAACTTAATACAAAGCGTTGCGACAAACACGTCAAAATTAAACATTCCGAGGACATTTTTCTGGCGTAATTGCGAATCCCCTAAAGAAAGTTTTATCCCATCCCAACCCAGCCCATTCATTCAGAAAATTCTCGTTCATTAAAGTGACTGTCCTTAATTAATTTGGATACAAAAGCATTCATTTTAATTAAATTTTCCACCCTTTTATAATTATTTTTAAAGGGAGTCACATAGTGTTTGAAGAATTTTTGTTTGGTCATATGAACGTTAGATCCCCCACTTTAGATTATGTAGTTAGAAGATAGACATATTCTATACTAGCTATGCCCGCGACTTCGTCCGCGTGGAATAGTGACTTGGGGTAGAATGTTTAATTATTTAGGCTTTTTATTAATTTATACAAGGACACATATAAGGCAGGCAATCTATGTTGTAAGTGTACTTTGCCGTAACACTTTCACCTACATCACTCCTACTCTAACTCCCACTCCCACTCCCACTCCCACTCCCACTCCTGTTCCTAAAAAGCCATAGAAGAAAGTTTCATTGTTCCAGCTTCAAAAACCACGAATTACCATACAAACTTTTAGGGTCCCCCTAGCTTTTAACGCCTTACGACACCCTTTTCGCAATAAAAGAACTTTGTTCTTTCTCAGGGTCTAGACCATTTGTGTACCAAATTTCATTCAAATCCATTCAGTAGTTTTGGCGTGAAAGAGTAACAGACAGACAGAGTTACTTTCGCATTTATAATATTAGTAAGGATTTTGTGAATTAAAACATCGTGAAAACACCATCTTGTAGTAGAATAGCAATTATAAATATATTATTTTAAAAGAAAACGTTATTGCGTTAGTAAAAAACGGCGCTACGAGGCACAAAGTAATGATTAAAACAGCAATTAAAATTTAAACGAGACATTAACACAACGATCTTATGAATTACGCAGATAATAACACCAACATTAAATTCCTAATAAAGTTTTCTTACCGTTAGTTGATGATTTCTTTGTCTCTCTATTGACGTAAACCAAAAAAAAAAAAAAAAAAAAAAAAAAAAAAAAAAAAAAAAAAAAAAAAAAAAAAATTTAAAAAATTTTTAATTTACAACCCAAAAGCAAAATCCTTTTTTTTAAAAAAAACCCCCCCCCCCCCAAAAAAAAAAAAAAAAAGAAAAAAAAAAAAAAAAAAACCCCCCCCCCAAAAAAAAAAAAAAAAAAACCCCCCCCCCCCCCCCCTTTTTTTTTAAAAAAAAAAAAAAAAAAAAAAAAAAAAAAAAAAAAAAAAAACACCCAAAAAAAAAAAAAAAAAATATTAAATAAAAAAAATTTTTAACCCCAAAAAAAAAAAAAAAAAAAAAAAAAAAAAAAAAGAAAAAAAACCCCCCTTTTTTTTAAAAAAAAAAAAGAACCCCCCCCCCTGTTCCCCCGGGGGGGGGGGGAAAAACCAGGGGCCCCCCCCCCCCTTTTGGGGTTTGGGTTTTCCGAAAACCCACAGACGGAAACTAAAACGTGATTAAACTTCACGGCTTTTTCATCTGTGGACGGTGGTTCGCGACTAGGACGGAATTGCGATATTCCTACCACCCATTTAATGTCCCAGTTTCCAGACGAAATTCAACATATTTCAGAAAAATTATAAATTGTAAGATTAAAAACATGTTGCGGTGAGGGTCGAACCCACGGCCCGTTGGTTATTAGCCGGACATTGCTTCACTTAACCAACGAGCCGGTCGGAATTTCTTAATTAAAATGTGTAAACATATTTCATATATTCCCACATTTCAGGGTATCTCCGTTTGTATTTTCCAACCACGTGTCTAAATTCTTAAGTATATCTGAAATGATTATGTAAATAACCTTATTATAAATACATAATCTAGATCACTCAAGTAATAATTATTTTTGTACCACTTTGTGGAAACAACAATCAATTATCATCATAGTGAATTTCTTTTGGAAGTAACAAGGATGTTTACAATATATTCTGTAACTAGAATTTTTTGTTTATGAAATGAATAAGAAGAGTTTTCTTTGAAGTTATTGCTGTCTGGTTTAATGTCTGGTTATTTTCATTTTAAATTGAAATGAAGCTTAGGGGAATAAAAATATACTCTTAATTATTATAACGTATTTTATAGTTATTATTTGGAGTGAGTAAGCTGTTCATTCTAATAATAATATAGAATAAACTAGCGATAGAAGAGTGGCTAAGAGTGAATTATCAGAAATCCTAAAAAACGTAGTCTCCCCGTGACCACGCCTGCTGCAAAGCATCCGTAACGTCAGACCGTAGTTAAAATAATTTTCAAATAGATTTAACTAATATATATCGCAGTTGAACCATTAAAGTTTTCTATTAAAAAACACGGTACACCACAAACATAACAAAGTTTGTAAATATTGACTTTATGTTATCAGACTCAAGAATTTATCATCGTTTACTGATAACGCTGTTTGAATTATTTTTAAAAACAATGAACTCTACACTGAATGACTTAATTAATATTCATGTGTGTAAACCGGTCCATAGTAGTTTCCTGTACCCAAAATTACTTGTGGTTGCAGCTTACTAAGTAAATATTTCACTTCCCCTAATAAACAAAAGAGTAATGCTCTGTTATCCAACTGTAAAGTGAAAGAAACAAGTTTTGAAAAAAAAAAGGTTAAAAAGAAAAAAAATGTCGTCAAAAGTACATACTACTTTAGAACTAAACAAAACAAATGTCCTGTTTATTAGAACAACTTTTCGGTCTGAACTTTATTTTAAAGCTGTGTTTTATTTTATTTTGAAACCAAGCAAATAAATTCAGATGAGAATTCGCAAAAATGTTCGCGAACTCTGTTTTTCGATTGTAGCATTTAAATGTTGCAGGAATTTTTATACTATTCATTGCTAGTTTAAATAGCGCTTAGTTAGTGTTTTAAATACAATTAATGCAAAATTCGTTGTGAAACGTAAAATTATAATATATATAACCAAGGACAACATTACTAATTATAATTCATATACTAAATTGCACAGTTCAATTAAAATGCGTCAGTCCTAAAAAAAATATATAGAATCTTTTTTACGTTTAAATTAGAAAATAATATGGTAATCACATCTATGTTGATATAAAAAATGAGACAAAATTATTCTACGTCAACATACCTATATTTTTACGTTTTTTCGTTTTTATTTTAAGTTATTGCGGGTTACAATAAACTGTATTAAATTAAGTCTACATAACATTACCCTTTAGAGTTTAGATTGTTCACAAAGGCAACTCCTACCTGCCTCTAAATATAATTGGTACGGCATCACCGTACTCTTCAACAACAAAAGACACAACCACGCGGAAGACGCTTTAATATTTAATCTGTTCACGAAATGCGACACTGACCGCATTACGTACAGTCGCGCTCTGCAGCATCCTATGTCATCTACTTTCTATCTCTTGCACTTCGCTCTCAAGACTCTCCCTCGTCTAAAAATAGACCGTGCCATCCAGTTATAGAGGCTAAAATCGATTGTCGAGTATTTGGGGCGAGCTTACATCGTGTTGAGATGGACAGAGTGCAGACTCGGCGAGTCGGCAGTCGCGCGTTGCGCAGCGGCGGGAGTGCGTGCCGAAATCGCTTCGAATTTGTAATAAATGAATTAATTGTGTTGTTAAATATGACCGGGGAAAATAATTGCGCGTGTGTGCGTGGTTGAAGTGCGATGCACTTGCGGGTTCTATTGTCTTTGGATCGGTTAGCCGGCATGAAGGGACAACCGGTTTGGTAAGACTTCTTGCATACTGATTAGAAAGCCTCTCCTTATACTGGTACAGTAGGCACAACTGTAAATATATATTTTTTATTTCAAGAAAATTATCACTTATCTTAGCTTGTTCTAACAATAATGGTCAGTTACGTAGTCTCTGGATTTTAAATTCTCAGGTAGATACGTACAACCCTAAATATGATTCAGCCGCAGGTGTTTTGATTGAGCTGGAACTAAAAATATTTGCAAGACTGTTTTTCTTCAGATATCTAAATTATCTTTTAGATGAAGTGTAGAGTCTTACAGATATCTAGGTCGAATAGGTGTAATCACTTCGTATTTTTTCATTAGAACAATATTTTATGCAAAAAACAAAGGAAAGTTTTACTATTTATATTTTTAAGAGCTCGTCGGCCCAATGGTAGCTAGAATGCGTAATAGTCGTTCGATTCTCACCGGGTCCAATATACCTATTTCATATAACAGTCAAATATTTTTCTAAAGTATCTGACCTGAGTTCACCTGACCACCATCTACAAATAAATAGCTGTAAAGTAAGTATATGTCTGAATTTCCAAATCCAAAATCGAATGACAGCTTAGGGCTGTGGCAATTCGCATTACAATAAGTGAATCTAGTAAATAAGAATATTGTATTTTTTGTTATTTGTATTGCAAACACGTATTTTTGGTTACCAGCTCAAGATTTTTTATAAGCTACTCTTGATTCGGTTCACGTAATTCAGCTGTTGTTAATTAGAATTTGTAAAGTAACAAAAATCAAGGCGCGCGTGTCAATTCGGTGAAAATGTAATCGAGCTATTCGTTTTCACATTTTACGTAAGCGCCAAACAATAACATTGCGTAGATAAAAGTGATTTCGCGAATTGGGCTCCTTGTTAACATATAAATCGAATTACTGCTTTACATTTGCCCAAAGTAATCTTTTGAAATACCTTTTTACGTCTCTTTTTATTTGTACATATCATTCATGTACTCAGCTATAACACTTTCGTCTCCGCAGCTCAATTCGTAAAGACATTGCTTGGCTCGTGTAAAGTACTGAATTCAAGCTTTGAGAAGCATAATATGTAATCTTTGAATAAAACAGTTCAGTTTGTTCATAATTTATTTTAACTATCGATCCGACATCTCGGATAGAGTGTGTGACGATACGTACGGTTATCTAATACTTTTCGCGTTTTAAACCGTTAGAAAGGTTTTCTTTCAATGTGTATTAGTCGCTTTCAGTTAAATTTGCTCAACTGAAACTGTATATATCTTAAAACGATCCATAAAAAAATATACGCCGCCATGTTAGATTCAAATTCTATGAATCTTGAGTGGGAATTTAGGAGACCGCGTAACCAAATTGATCAAACTTAATAAAAATATCTTGTGTACACAGCTTTATCAATAGCAATCTAGTTAAGATAGCCGCCTTTTCCCAGAAAATTCCTTTACTTATCGTATTCCTCTAAAGTATAAACAACGCTATTCGTTTCATCGTAATATATTTGGAGCCGATGGACGCCGAGACGCAGACTGTGTAAACTTTCCCTGGAATATGTTGACATTCTTAGTTTAATTAGTTTACCCTTCCTATATGTATTTTATTATAATTTATAATATAAGGAACATGTACATTACATATGGTTATCTCCGTTTTACTAATATTTTTTACAAATTAGTTCAATTCACATATTACAGTATTAATTAATGTTATACTTATTTAAAATTATATTGTTACTAATATTATACTTTTTAATTAGTAAATAGATAGCACATATATTTACGAAACCCCATTTCCCATTACTGGGCATGGGGCGAACACATCGCTGTGTCTGTTACACTTGTGTATTCTATTTATGAGAAGTAATTTATCAGATTTCTACAGATCCTGCCCACCCAAAATACTTTTTTTGTTTTCCCAAAAATAATCGTACTAAGATCTGAATACATTTTATTTTAAATTGACAATAAGTATGTATATGTAATTACTATATCTTCCGATATTGAAATACCCAGGCAAATCCACTGTTCCGAAGAAGATATCACCCAGATTCTTAAACAATGGCCGTAACTCGGTCATTTGTTCGGACAATAACTTCAGTTGGTTCTCATTACAAAACCAACAATCGCTTTGGAAGATTCGGAATCTGTTAATTGCTGTATCCGTAATCTGCCTCTTCAATATTATAATTACCTCAGATAGCGCGGTTTTATATGAGTAAGTTTTCAAATTAGGCAACTTTCATATGTTATTTGTCGTATCGTCCTGTTATCTGTCACACATCTACGATAGTTGAAATATCCCAGCTCCCTATATACCTAAACACGATGTGCTATCAACCTATTTTAGCTTTGTATAATCGGAAACCCACAGGCTGAAATCGATACACTTGACGGAATTTTCATCTATTGACGGAGGTTCGCGACCCGGACGCAATTTCGATCGCCCATTTAATAATCCAATTTCCAGACGACGTCCAACATGTTTCAGTGACATTATAAATTGATTAGAAAAATGACTGACCCGCTGGAGATCGAACCCACGACCCGTTGATTATTTCCAAACATTATACAAGCCTGACCAAAACTTTCTTAGGTTTTACGCTACATAATTATTAAAACTAACTTTTCTGAATACATTTTAATGTGTGTCAAATTTAACTGACAAAATCGCGCCATAAACTGGTAACTTAAAGCGTTATGTGTGAATCTACGACCTCTATAATAACTAGAGGCTATTGAAACTTCATTTCAAAGCCCATTAAATATTCTTGTATGCGCAGAGCCTTAACTATTAATTAAAAAGCTCGCAAGCGATGCTTAATTAGCGAGTGATTTAAAATTGATAACATGCCTCCAACAATGCTTCCATGACAACAAAGTGAGACCGTTTCTGATATTTTATTAAAGAATCGCCTAGACTGAAAATAGAATAGTGGGTCGTATAAAATGTATGCGTTTCCGTAGCGTAGCGTGTCATAGCATTTTTTGTTACCACATTCGGTACGTTGACCTGTACGAATCCAATTAGACCTTATGACATATTCCTTACTTTTAAATAAAACACTTCACAATTTAGAACGAGAAGAATATTAGTTAACTTATTTTAACTATGGCCCAACTAACTTTCCTCAATAAACTATATTTTCGGATATTAAACCGTTTAACCTATTTTGTTTAAATGTGTACTATTCGCATAAGATTTACAGACAATACTTATATTTCTTTCTTTTTAGAAACGTTAGCATGTAATAACAAAAGAAGGTAATATTACTTCTTGCTTTTTAAAATGTCATAATTTATATCAGAAATGTGTTCCTCCTCCAACCTACTCCAGCCAGGACCCAAACAAGATGTGCCGTCGACTTATTTTTGGCTTAGGATATTCGGAAATCCACAGACCGAATTTAAAACGTTCTTTATAAGTTTGAATGAAGATGAAATTGAGGGCTATTAATAATAAACATCCATATAAAATATGTCACCTCCTACAGATAGTCCATCTATATAAAAATATTTTTAAAAGCAGTGCGAGCTTTTAAGAAAAGATCTCATGACACTATGAATTATTTCTGTCGTTGCTGCGACGTTTAGACTTTTGAGAGTCTTGGCATAGTTTTGAATTGTTTTAGTATTTTTTCAGCCTCTTTCATTATTTATTGAATATATCTCATTATAAAAGCGCCTAATATTTCATGAACAATGCCCCGATCTCATTCCCACGCCGCAACTTCCGTTCTTTTGATGACTATTTAAAATCCGAAAAATAGGTGAGAATAAGTTATGTAAACAGTGTAATTATAAATATAGCTTATTATTCGTAGGAAATCTAAACTTCTAACATTTTAACATATTGAAGAGTAAATAATAACATTCGCCTTTTTTTACTTGTTTCATCTCGCTGAGATCGCACAATTAAACCGAAATTTGAGAAAGAGTTTAATTAAACCAATATCAATAAAAAAAATATTCTTGAAGATCCCTTTTGGTTATTGTCATTCGTTTTAACTTATTCCAGAGAAGAGCGGGATAAAGCCCTAACCAATCTAGGTAGGCTTAGCAATGGACAAACAAACGAAAATACATTTCCATTAATAACATAAATACATTTCCATATGTTTGTAGTTGTAATTTCTAGCTCTGATCCAGTCTAATAGAAACGTTTTAAGAAAATTCAGTTCAATGATCGTTCCTAACTGAAGTAGGCCAATATGATGAAAGAAAATATGCACAGTTCAAAGAAAAATGATCTAATTGATGTGTTACGGATATGTTCATTAGCGGCCATTTGACCGTAATTGCTTACAGTTAGGGTAACTGTACCGAACTCGTGAACTTCAGAATCATCTTTTAAGGTCACTGTAAACTAGACTGGGTATTTGTGCTGTACAAATGTGAAGAATTCTATTTGTGTTACTTTCTACTTCAGCCTCTAATTTTGTATGTACGATTAGCATTAAAAAAATAGATATTATTCCTTAGCATACACCATTCTTACATCTTCTGAATGTCAACGTAAAAAATTCCTATTCTTATCAGTCATCCTCTAACATTAAAAAACATTAAAATAAACATAATTACGTTTAAAAGCTTTTTATAGTTTTATATTAAATAGGCAATTTCTTATAGAAGAATCTCAGAATTTAAAGTCCAAATTACCAGTAAAAGCGTCGATTTTTGAACAGCTTGCCAGGTTATTGAACGAGGTCTCAAACCGCTGAATCCAGTTTATTTTTTGCTGTCGATCACTTTTTATACGACGATATAATTTAAAGAGGTAAGCTCAATAGCGAATATTTGTACATCCAGTAAAGTAGATCAAGTAGACATATAAAATAACTTCCCTGTTCTTGTAACTATAATGTAAATATAATTGGTGCAATACATAAGTTGTCTTGAGTCACAATAATGCACGCTATTAAGAAATAGTGCTGTCACGCGACCATATGTAAAAGAAATGTTACCTAACTAGACATAGTGTCATATTCCTGATTATTATAACTTTA